AACAATTAAATTGTTTTAACGCCTATAAAAACATAGTTTCAAAAATCTTTGACTATGAGATGCTAAGCTCAATAATTTTTTTTTTTGTTGCTTTTGAAAGCGACGATTTTTTTTTAATATTTTAAACTTATGGCATTGTCGGCCTATAATGAGAAATGGGTCTTTTACATGTTTGTTTTCTCAGTATTTAATCACAAATCATGCCTCGATCGGAACGCATCGTATCTGTGATACGGTGGGATGCCAATATAGGCCTATTTGGTAAGGCAAGCTTACGAGAGGTTGGAGGCTGATCGTGTTATGTATTTGGTCTCACTCATGTCTTCATTTTATAATATAAATGTCTTCCCTCACTGAAGAATATTTCATATAAAACCTAAATTATTGATCAGTCATGTAAGATTTTGTTACAGGTATGACCATAAAGGTATGACCATAGCACTGCAGCGCCGACAATTGAATAGCGTCTATGTTCCTCTTCACAGCGCCGCTCTCCACCACTTGTTTTGTTTTAGTTTCCTTAGCGAAAGAAGACCGTAGCGTGGCGACTAGTCCCTCTGCCTGTGAAGTTAGAGCTTTACCTCACTACCTTATCATTGAGCGCGATAAGACGGCGCCTTGTGTACAGGGTCTGTAATTATACCACTCATGTAGGACACAATGTGTTCACGTCACACTTCATTCGACAAATATGAAATAAATTGTAATAATAATTGGAAAGTTTGTCTCTAGATGCCATAATTGATTGGAATAATCAATTTTATAATCAAAAGTCTAGTAGTACTTATTCAAGAATTATTTTTGCACTACGCCATCTTTCATTAAGCTCATCACTTTTCTCAAAAATGATTGAGTGTTTCTAAAATTTGATACTTTTTAGTGCAAATCAACGCAATCCGTACGTAGGAATTCCAACACTTTCCTTGACTATAACAATATTTGCGTTAACTTTACTCTGCTTCAATATGATGTACTCTTAGAGGTTTAGACATTCCCTAAACCTAATCCTGTCTTGACCTTCAATCGTCTCGAATAGTTGCCAATATGGCACTCTAAGATGTCTGCCCTCACTCCAGTGTGAATACTATGATGGCAACGAAGCTTAGAGTTCTTGACTGTGATCATGCAATTTTTTTAATCTACGCCGACTAATGTATTCACTAATTAAATAAAATATTAATCTCTATCATTCATTTACAAATATTTCAGAAAACTGTTCATTCTACTTACATTTCTCAAAACCTTCGTGAATGAGCATTTACACGAGTTATTATTATCATGGCGCAGTATAATGCGCTATCGCCCTCGTACCACGAAGGTCGTGAATGACAACGCACGGTACGCATCAACTATCAAAACCTGTCCATCGTTATCCCTGTGCCTTTCTTCATTCTGTCTCTTTCCCCATCTAACCTCCTCCTTACTCCCTACGTGTTTTTTTTTCTGTAGCGAGCAACCACCACTCTGGAGACTACCCCTCCGAAACCCCCAAGCTGAGCAGCCCTCGCCAACCCCCCTCTCTCGAAACACCGGCTCTTGCGTTCACATTCTTTGCTCATCTTTCTTTTTTTACCATAAAAGCCGATAGTTATTTCCACAGTAATTGACTGAAAATAATCCTAATGTAACATGGATACTTTAAATACTAAAAGCAACAAAAATCCTGACAAGAAACTACCAAATTCAGAAAACTTTTTACGCGGGACGACGCTCCACGTGAACGTAGTTTTCTTACCTGCATCTTCCTAACCCCCGCCTCCAGCTCTCCCGCGACCCTCCATGTGCCTCCCCTTTGCTGACGAGTCCGTTGCTTACCTTACCTTTGCGCCTCACCCACACAGCACAGCAGCTCCCTCCTCTTAGAGGTAACCTTCTCTGCCTTCATTCTTACATCGCACAACCGCGTCAATTGCGCCGCTAAACCTCTATGAATAACAGCTAGCCATAACGTATAAATTTGCTTTCTGAAAATTGAAAACTTATATATTTTCATAGCTGTTACTTCATACGCGTATAACTTGAACACTGAATTTTTGCTTGCAGTTTCAGCTTTAGTTTATATTTAAATTTTTTTAAGTTCTTTCTATTTAACTTTATTACTAATTTGAAGTGCTAGAGTATGAAATTATTGTTGAAACAGACGAAGATAATAAACTTTTAGGCTTGAATGAACAAATTTAAAATTAAAATATTTTGTGCTCTCTCTAAAATGATAGTTGTCGAACTAGGAGAGATAACAACAGGACTTTACGTAAACATAAACAGCTTTCTGAGTCGTTACCGCGACCTCAGGTTAGCTCTGAAATTATGCCAGTTGCTCACTGGAAGCAAAATAATCACATAGAAATAATGAGACTGGTTTTATGGGCACATCTCATTATACACTTGCAGTCAATTATTCATTATGCCGGTTTCATTCAAACCTGGAACATTATGGCCATGTATTCTGTGAATAGTGTTCAGTTTCTGTATGAGCATAGCCCCACGTGTATAGGACTAGCTCCCCCCGCGCAGTGGCGTGAGTTGCGTTGACGTTGTTCATTGAATGTCATGGACGCCAGCGGTTGCTTCTGTGCCGATCTCGTTACATCAAGTACATTTTAACGGCAACAGAAATAATTTATACAACCAGGCACACTTTTGACGTAATATTTTCAAGGTTTATCAACTCATTACATGACATTATATTGACTTATTAGTCATTTTACCTCAAAGCTTCTCTTATTCAGTCATTGCTCCACTGGTTCTCATAATCCATAAAAATTTTCTTTAGATACTCAAGTTGTCCATGTTTTTTGGACATGTATATACTCACAAAAAAATATCTAAGTCCCAAAATATAAAAAGTCCCATTTATAGCATTGCTTATTGCTTTCAGTGAGACCATATGATCGTTTTGAATGATAAACGAACATGACTTCGCTACCTACGGACACCAGGCAGCTGTGCTCGGCTCCCCTCTTTGTCCCTGGCGAGCGCTGCTGGCTATGCGGCAGGTAAGTCAGGAAGCGGCCCCTGCGTTCACGCAGCAGGTGCTGTTGATGCTCAACATAGAAACTTAGTTCGTAATTATGCGCGCTTCACAATTCTTTTTGAGTCTAATTTGAGAACAATATTGTTTACAAATGTTTATTAGAGAAATAAGAGTAGCATAGGCTTCACAACTTTGTTCAATTAGTTACTTTTTTGTGTTTCTGTTTTGTCGTTTCTCTTTGGTGGCGAGAGGGTTTGGAGTTTCGCACCAGCACCGACACCTGTCGCTGTCTAGCCATAAAAAGACAACCCTGATTCTTCATAATTAACACTAACATATTTCAGCGAATTCAGTACTATCCAGTGATAAATAATGTTCTTAACTGAGGGCAGACATTGCAATGATCAGGTGATGGAACTGAGTGTCGCGAGATGGAACTGCTCGAATGTCCTGCCACGGAGCTTCGAGGACAAGTTGAAGGCCGCTGGAGCGCGGCAATGTCTCTCCTCTCGGAACTTTGGGCCCGTCACTAAATTCCAGATGGCGTTTCCTTGCATGCAGAATAACAATTACTATTTGAAATAAAAATTTAGTAACTAATGACATCTCAACTATACGCTTAATAAGTGAGGAATAAGCAAATAAAAAAATTGTGAGCATAGTTAAAGCTACCTAGGACGTTCATTTTACTTAGTTTTGGTCATATTATTACAACCACTCGAACACATATGCACGTGGAACTACACACGAATAAAAATATTATAACATGAATTTATTTATTTTTCTCAAAATTTTACGCGAAAATTTTGTGAAAAAATACATGTACAGACATTGCGTCTATAAACTATAGCCCTCGAACATCGGTTCTTCAGCTTGCATTATATTATCAGCAGAATAGTTATTAAGCGAGAATCTCTAATCGCTTGCAGTGAAGCTAAGTCTGTGGGCATCGTGTATGCTATGTAAACCATAGTTTCATTATGTATGACGAGATGTTGGCAAGCCTCAATCAGAGAACTTTCCTGAGTAAACTAGAGTTAGTTCAATGCTTTAAGCAAAATTTTAGCAAAGTACACCAGGCCAAGAACAGACATCAGTTGTATGAACTTTGATACACACATTAAAAAGACAATTGCTCTGCCTCGTACGGCTCCCCAGCACAGGGAGCCGTGGCATACCTGCGCTGAAAATTTATCCATTTGAATGAGACTGAATAACGACAAGCAAACCTAGTTGAAGTAATGACTCTACCAACTGAAAAAAAATGTGATATCTTCATAAGAAACTACGAAAAAAGTATTGGAACTGCCTCCCTCTGAAAGTGATATTCCCTGAACATTCATCAGAAACATGATTGTAATTACGCTTGGATTAGGATTGGGTTACAAAATATTTAGACACCCGTGTAAATTCATTATTTTTCATTAAATCAATGAAAGAAAGCCTCACACGTCCAATAATTTCTGTTAAATATTCAATTTCGTTTACCCTAAAATTTTCTACGCATAAAGCAAACGGCCATTTCCAGTCTAAGCTAACATTTAGGCCTAAAATTACTTCTTGGCACGTGGGTCTGTATTGGGAGATTTTCAAGCTTGTAAGTTAGTTAGTATATTAACAGTATATAATAAGAATTAATCTACAGTATATTTTATTTAAAATAAAATACAAAATTACTGTTAATTAATAATCTTATCACGTGGAAAAAGGGTTCGACTCTCTCGTGTGAGAAGGAACATTCTGAAATCCTGGAAGAAATCGAGCGTTCATGAAAGCAGTTTTCTTTGTTTATGTCCCGAAGAACACTAAAATTTTATAAATCGGTTATTTTAAAGATAGGAATTCTACAATCATGAGTAAAAGTAACAAAACCCATTGTAACTTGTGCAATTAGTATCTAAATTGAATCATGTAATGAATTATAAGGGTAAGTTATATGAGAATTGAAGTTGCTCAAGAAAGTAAGGGTCTCATCTTCCAACGACACACCAATGCGAGCGTTCCTGGGACTTGAGGCCGCTCATGACGTCACAAACTCAGTTGCGTTTCAGATGCGAGTGAGGATGGTGTGTGCGTAAGAAGACTCTTCATTTTAGATTGTAAGTATGCACGATTCACTGATATGTGTTGCAATATTATATTATCAGTGTATTCAACTGCATCTTAAATCTCTATGTTATAATTTTAGTCATATTGTGTTACTGTCTTACGACTTGTAAGATGTTAAAGTGTAGAGGGTAAACATCGTCATCATGTTCGTTCGTACAATCAGGAGGGAACGATGGAGGTAATGTTGCTGCTGCTGGCTTCGTCATTCCTTAGCTCCTTCCATGGTTCGAGTGACATTACTTCATAGCTTGTTTTGCTTTATTTTTTCGGTTATATAGCTATGATCAGCAAGATATGGGACATATTTTATGCTGTGAAATGTGAATGGTTCTCATATGTAAGGTGTGGTAGCTACTCGGACTTAAGCGGTTGTGATATGAGCGACTTGCATGAACCTAGAACTCGAACCTCGAAGCCGAAGGTGATATGGGGCTCCATTAGGCCTAACTTATAAATTATTTATACGTGACTCCGACCTATGCTGATTCTCGCTATATTTAATTGATTTCTTTAATATTTTATGTATCCTATCTTGGGTACTGTTCCCGAATCCCGATTCCAAAACTCGAATATGGTTAGCAGGTTAGGCTGCGCATGTAGCAATTACGGTTTGTCCTGATAATGCAGTGTTGGACTGTGGGCAATTGAGTGCCCTTGAGGCTTGAAGTTGTGACCACATTTGCCATTTCATGTCATTCTTCTTGTGATTTAAATTCTAGGCTCTCTTCTGATTTACTTGCAACAGCCAACTTCTCAATAGCTATTTTTGAAGGTTTTAAAACTGGAAAAGACAATTGGAAACCTGAATTGATGAGTCAGTTTTGTGATTATGTGCTTCTATTTCACTATTTGTTTTATCTATCTTTTCAACAATTTGTAATTTATTACCTTTGATTGTATAGTTTTCTTACTATTAAACATCAATTACCTAGTCTGTTAGGTTAAGTCACCAGCTTGCAACCAGAAAGAACCCACCTTCATCTACCATCTCCAATACCATTTTTTTTAGTGGAATTACCTAGCAAATAGAAAACAATTGATTTTTTCCTGAGGATTTCTGAAGTATTTAATGATGAAGCATCTCATTTCAGTCACATACCTACTGTCAACTGAGGTATCTCTAGCCAGATTAATGGAGACTCCACACAGCATTACCTTTTACCAAAATACCTCTGATCCACACTGGGATATTTTGCCCACCTTTGACTTGTACTAAGAATAACAGTATAGCTCAAATATAAAGAGGTTTGGATCAAAGTCATGCCAGGTGCTACAAAAATGAATATTTTAAACATGTATAATTAATAGCATGATCACAATATTCATCAAAGTTGTATGCGCAGTTATTGCAATGGATGCAAGCATTCATGATGTTGTAAATGTTTGTAGATTGGCTGGATGGAATGTTTTTGGCAAAACCAAGTATGCACTGCATCAGTGAAAAGCATTTCTCATTTAACACTGATACCAGAATTCCCTTATCTGTTCATGGCTTACCAGGCTTAGCAAATCATAAATGAAAGAATTCTTTTCATGAGTACCGGATAATAAAATTCTGTTTATGCTCTTTTTGTTCGCAAAAATGATTTTGTACTCTGATTGCCAGTCTTTTTAGCGCATTTTTTCATTTATGGAAAAAATGCACTATTGTGCTCGCTATGTCCGTCTGTTCGTGACCTCAAGTTTTCGTCAACGAGAAAATGCACTCTCTGTCACTCACTGCAGTGAGTACTGAGTTACATTTTTTCTACTTGCCCATAAGCTTGCAGTTAGTCAGTGAATACACTTGATATCCCACTAATGTTCCTTGATTTATTTCACTTGATATAAATCCTGATGAATTTTAATTGGAAACATTGTGTTAGCCAATAGACTATAACTTGGGGTGACTATATGAAATAAGTTTAGTAATGCAGAAATATTGGTTGGTTTTTTAGCATACTCACATTCATATGTATTTGTTAATTGCAATCACTTATGTAACTATTCTTCTTAGAAAAATTGCCAATGATTTTTTCCTATTGATCATGAAAATTTGCTGCTGCTAATGCATCTAATCACTTGATACATGCATCCTTTAAGCATGATTCATTTGAGTATGATGCGGGCTTTACTGGACTATCATGCAGGCATTACTGGAGCATGATACATGCATCCTTCAAGCATGATGCCATATCAATTGAGCATGATTCATCTCATCCCTCGAGCATGATACATGAATTCTTCAGGCATGTTGCTCCCATCATTTTTGCATGATGCAGGGCATCACTGGAACATATTGCATCTCATCATCTGAGCATGATACATACATTCCTCAGGCATGATGCTCCATCATTTTTGCATGATGCAGACATAACTGGAGGTTTATGTACCTCATCTCTTGAGCATAATACTGTCATGAGCGGACCATGATGCCAGCATCACAGCCATGTGATGGGTCGATACATGAGTAAGGCATGGGGGTTAGTGTCGCCCTCGCGCGCCAGGAACCATCAGCCATGCTGGCGCTGCACCGCACAAAGAACCTCCCTTGTATTGTATGCTCACCGCGTCACGTGGGAGAGCGCGTCTGTTGCTTCCATAGGTGAAAAGGCCGCGAACTTCTTATCATTATTGTTGAGTGTAATTAAAGAACATGTTCTTGAGTTCGTTCTTATCATTATTGTTAAGTGTAATTATGGAACATGTTCATAAATTCCTTCTTATCATTATTGTTTACTATTATCATGGGACATGTTTTTAAGTTCCTTGAGAGTTCATTGAGTACAATGCACTTATCACGGCGTTCATGTACCACGTACTTATTGGCTATTGCGTTCATGTACCACGTACTTATTGGCTATTGCGTTCATGTACCACGTACTTATTGCGTTCGTGTACCACGTACTTATTGCGTTCATGTACCACGTACTTATTGCGTTCATGTACCACGTACTTATATCGTTCGTGTACCACGTACTTATTGTGTATTAATGTATATATTCGCGTATATTACTATAGCAGGCTGGAATAGCATCACTGGAGTGACGCCGGCTCCAGGGATGATGGGATGCGATGTGCTGGACGAGAAAAGGTCCAGGAATGTGACCGCTGCCTGTAACGCGCGCGCTTCTTTGCGAGGGCTGGGCGAGCGTGGGTCGGAGAGGGGAGTGTCCTGGCGCGAGACAAGACAAAGTGGGGAGACCGGAGTGTAAAAGTGGCAGTGAAAACGACATGTGGACTCTGGCAAAGACATGACTCAGAGATAATATGGAGGAGTAGAGCATACCAGCGGTACGAGAGTAGCAAATACGCGGTAGGAGAGTAGTAAACCAGGTATAATATCCCCGAATATGGAGAGTTGGAAGTATGAAATTTAGGGTGAGAAGGATTTTCGAAGAGAGGGTGTTGGAAGTGCGAGCGTATTTTGTCGTATAGTTTCTTGCACATTGAAAGTTCAAAGGAAGATATTAATATCTATCGTGCACAATCGTTTGGCATTTGCAGTTCGTTAGCCACTCAAAAGAAGGGTAAGAAAGAATGTGCGTGGGAAAGAGGCAGGAATTTCGGAGGGTAGCGGAGGGCAATTCACTGCCCCGTTGTAAAGGCAGTGAAAGAGGAGTAAGGGGGTGAGGAGAGGGCTTTGTATGGCATGTAAGAGGCGCCTGGAAGGGACAGTTGCTCAACACGCTCGAGGGTACATCGCCCCACGGTGTCTGCGGTATGCAAGGCTTAGCTCGTCTGAGTTGGTATGTGCAGCGGGACTTAGACGCTTGATTATATTGAACCTAAAAACTTAAAAGCAAAGAAAACCACAAAATTTCATAGTATTTAAAAAGAAAACGTTTTCCTTAAAAATACTATGCCTTTTTGTGGTTTTCTTTGCTTTTAACTTTTTAGTGAATTTGCGATTCAAGCAAACGAGTGACATTATTACTTATATTGAAGCTTATTGCTTGTTACTATATAGTGCTGCTTTGTATTCATTACACTTCAGATTGAGGAAAAAAGTGTCCCACGCATACGGCTTAATTTGGTCTGAAAAAAACGGTCATTACTAGCTTGTGTTCTGAGTCAAATGAAGGTTTGATATTTTGAACGGTATTCTTGGAGCTAAAGCAATATTATCTGTCGACAACTAGTTCTTTGACTGCAATTAAGTATTTAGAAATAGTGTAAAATACTCTAGTGTCGCTGCCAATTTTTCTCACCATATTTAAAATGAAATCCAGACCTATTATCGAACTTAACTTACGCAGGGTGATGACTGACCGAATAAAATCGAGTACGTTCAATATTTCGAGACGAAATATTAAACGAATATTAAAAATTTTATCACGAATATCCTCGGTGGTTGTGGACGGAGGAATGCACGTGTATTAAGATGATGGCAATGGTTTATTACGGGAAAGGAAGCGTCGAGGAGTAGCAGCAGGAGCAGGGAGGATGTAGGCAGGCACCAGAGAAAGCTGGAAGGGAAATCCTATAGCTAGCTGTAGGAGCAGGCGCGGGGGGAGAGTGTGGTTTGAGTTGCACCCCCACCCCCCTACTCCCCCCCTCACTGGGGGATGAGTTTTTCAACACTTGTCAGGTGCATTTACTTCGTGCGTGAGTTGAGTTGATACTCTTTTCTTACTTTCCGCGTAAACCCTGAGAGTTTACCCAGCATTTCTTGCAACTTGCAACACCTCTTGAATTTCATTCTGAGCGAGTTTCTATTTTCATTTAAACATCGCTTCTCCACGTTCAATGTTATTTAAGTAATGTAAACTATTACAATGCGAAAACCATGTTTGCTGTCCACTTGTTAATTGCTCAAAAGGAAATAGCGGTTGAGTTTCAAAAGGAAATAGCTGCTGCAGAGTTCCAGGTTGTGCACTTACATCCTGAGCGTATAACGCGCTCAATTACTGCATTCATTTTGGATGTGCATTGGCTGATAGCTGGACGTTGGGTTCACACCTCAAATAAAGCTGAGGTTCGCTATTTGTTTTAAAAGATCTCTCTTTTT